CAGAGGTCTTCCCTGAAGGGAAGACCATCTTTACAATTGGTCTTGCAACTGAATTGCATACATTTTTAAGGAATTTGGTAGACACCAAATGAGTAGAGTTGTAAAATTGGCATTAGTGATCAAATGCAGGGGGTATAGCTAATGCTGCACTAACTGGCAGTCATGCATTAGTTGAAGACAGTCAATCTTCTGAATATTTTCTGTTGGAGCCCCCCCCTTGACATGGGGATACTTACGGGGTCTCCCCTTTCCCAGGGAGATAAACTCCTCGCCCAGTAGGCAGCCCTCTGGGTGAGGGACCTGGGTTCACCCTGGAGCTGGATCATTTACCATTAGGAAAACCTCCCTAGTTTCCCTGGGCTTCCTCTTCTGATAGGAGGATCCTGTCCCCACCAGTTAAAACATACTCTGTTTCTAACTCCTGGGGTCGCTTGCCATACTTCTCTTGGAGTTTTACTAAATTCTCAGCTGAATAGGATACTGACTTCTTAGTTATTTCCTTCTTCTCATCCTCCTTACTCTCCACTACTTCCATTTTAATTAGGGGTCACATTGCAACTCGTTTTCTGTGCATGGTCTCCCTGTGCTCATTTAATTCCTTACTGGGTACAGGGACAGAGGGCTTAGTGTTTTGTTAGTCACTCTCTCTAAAAGTTTTGCAGCCTTTCACTTGCTAATTGCTGCTGCAATTTCTCAACTAATTCCTTAACTGAGCTGCTCTATAAGACGTTGTACTCCCCTCACTAGCATCTTATCCCTGATAGGGTACCTATGTCACTCTCAATATATTCTCCTGCTCTGCAGCCTTATAAAGTTCAAGGTGCATTCTTCTGATAAGGCCTCTTTCTATATTAAGGAGGGATTCCAATTTCGTTCTCTCAGTTTGCTCTCTATCTAGACATTTTTGTAAGGGGTCAGCCAAATCTTATAAATGCTTTTGTAAAGAGTCAACAAAATTTTGTAGGAATTTGTTTCTCTCTATCCAAAAGTTTTAGTGAGGAGTCATGAATCCTTTTATCCTCTTATCAGCACAACACACAATACTCCACATTTGAAGATGAGGATGGGGTAAGCATTGTCTACGAGGGGAGAATGGTCAAGATATGGCATTTCCTGGGCCGCTGTATCTTGCTCTTCCTTCTTCCAGATCCATCCTGTCCCCCAGTCAGGGATAAACAGATCTGAGCCCATCCTGGCTATAAATAGCTGTTTGTGATTCCTATTGCCATGACCCACTGCCAGTAGAACAAAACCCCCACATTTATCTACCTACTTCTTCTGATCTCTTTACCTAGCTTTTGAAAGTATATATTTTGATACTTCAGAGGCATATTGCGGCTAGTATGCTCTAGGGTGGTCTGAGAAGACCATATGTGGTTAAATCTACCAGTCTCTTTTGTGCTTGTGATACAAGATTGTTTTGCACTGTTTTTGTGCAGACTTTTTTGAACCACAAAGAGGTTGCAGGCAAGGAATGTAATTTTTAAAAAATAAAAATAGGCCTTAGACTTCTAGTCAGACATAACAAAATTGCTGCAATTGTATCTAGACTACATAACTCCTTTCTTTATTAAGTCAAATAGTTTGTGTTGTTTTGTTCCTTTCAAGGTTAAGGTGTTTTGCATGTCTTCAGACATTAAACACATTTTTCATGTGGTGGAAAAAGGAAAATAATGGCATGTTGATACCAGCTGGCCATGACCATTTTTTTGTGTGTGTATACCGCACTTGAAACTAGCAAATACCTATCTTAATGAGCCAGGTCAGCTGGAGGAGCTGGTTAGGTCATACGGTTCTTTCTGGTTTGGGGCTGTTTGTTCAACAAAACATGGCTGTGTTTTTTTCCCAGGACTTTTGGGCAACATTATCTCGTTTGTAGACTCTGAGGTATTCTCACTTTAGGATCACTAGTTACACATCAAGGTGATATTTTTGCAGTTACTTTATAGGATGCGTTTTTACTTTATGTATACCTTTCTTATGTCTACAGAGTAATGCAGATCGCTGTAGGACCAGCTGTAGTTGGTTACCTTCTATAAATGCTGCTGCACTATTTCTGGTACTAAAAATAATTATGATGCTTTACAGTTGACTCAGGCTGCTGTAATACTAATGTGGAGAACGTGGCAGACATCTGTATTGTATCTGTGAATGTGACTCATTTGCCTAACTATTCTTATGTTATGGCTGGTTTGAATTCAAGGGGTTAACTCTTCCTTCAGTCTGTCCATCTAGAAGAATAAGCAGTGAGGTTGTGTCTTACTCTTCTGATGGTAGACACAATAAAGCTGTAATTGGCCAAAATATTTTTCCTGTCTAAAAATTGAAGCTGGATACTTGATCCTTTCTGGTCTTTATCTGGAATCTCAATATTTTTGTTAAAGATTTATTAAAAGTAATTTCAACACATTCTGCACATTTTAGACACAAAAAGTCAAAGCATGCCCTTTCTTTGTCAGGTTTGGTGTCATCATGTAGCAGTCAGTAAGAAACAGCTTTGAGGCTAAAAACTACTAGTTGTGGGGTTTTTTTATGTTGGTTTGGTTTTTTTTCCCCCCAAGTACAGAGAGCTTTTTTCTTGACATTGGTGGAATTATTCTGAGTGCAGAAGTTCAGAAAATTTGGTTTCGAAACAGTTCTATGGTTAGGGCAATCGTAGGCTTTCATGCATGCTCCCAAGTTGCTTGTCTGAATATTTCTAACTTCAGTTCGTTACTACAGGCCGTGCAAAAGTGGTTCTTTGTTTCCATTTTAATTTTTGAACTCATTAATTAAAATAGGTGATTGAAAAAATGATTTATTGAAAGTTGTGTTTATTATGGCAACCTCCGGTTTTAATGGAATGGTACTTCAATTGGGATGCAGAAATACTTTGGTTTGACTTTCTAAATACTTAGGGACAGTTAATATCTCTGCCTTTTGTTTAACTGTTTACATACTGTAGGCTTGTTACATTGCTCACCTAAGTGTTTCTAGCCTCCTTGAACAGCTGAAAAACTGATTAATGGAGCTCTGTTGCAAGAAAAAAAGATGGAAAAACATTGAAAAATATGTGAGAAGTGCAAAAGGAAGCAACATGTTTAAACCAAGGAAGTTTAATGTAGAGCTTGCGTTCTACCTCAGAGGGGAAGAGAGAGGAGGAATATAAATGTTGGGAGACATCATGTTTCTTTTGTGACTGCAAATTCTTGTAGAAGGGCAAGAAAGGGGAAGGAAAGTTTTGGTTTTTATTGTTACTGCAGAACACATTTCTTTGTTTCATAATACTGTGATAAATGCTATGGTCATGGATGAGGCTGGGGCCATTATGCAGCTTTTTCCTTATTTCTGACTGGACTAGATACTAAGCATTGCAGGAGTGGGGTCACTGTTGTCAGTCTTGTATCCTGCAGACAGTGCATTAAAAAAAAAGAGTGAATAAAAGAGATGATAAGTGAGGAGTTAGTAATTTAAAAGAAGCTGGTGGCTGCCTTCTGCAAGAGTCTTGCAAGGTCTTTTGATATTTTCAGGCATGCCTCATCATTACTTTACAAGGACAAAATTAAAAGATAAATGTTGCTAGATTTCAAGAACAACACCCCCCACCAAATCAAAACTCATCTAACCATTTTCTTTGAAATGCACTAGTGTTGAAAAAATTTCATTGCTGTGGAACCGGTGAGCATATCGGTGCGCGATTTGGCCAGCACTGTATGTGTGGCAGCAAAGGTTAAATATGTTAGGGCTCAGAGTTATGACTCTGGAATAATGAGAATAAGCCATCTGTTGAAATGCCTTTATTTTGCGCCTGCCTTTGTGCTTTAGTTTCATTATTACCTTAGTAAGAAAAAAGGGTGTAGTAGGAAGAAAGAAGACAAAACTTGTTTCTTTTTGAAATAGTATAGCACTTGGTACCCATATGGTCTCTGTGATATTTCTGTCATGCTGTTTTTTTTCCCTTGCAGAGGACCTGTAATCACATAATAAAATATTAATAGCACTGCTTTTAAAAGATTTAACTTCTAGCTTGAGCATATGTATATGGTGTTCACTGTAACAGATAAAGTTCCTGTATGTACTGTGAATGTATAATTGGTATAGTTGTTCTAGTCTTAAAATAAAATGTGGTGTTCCAAGCACACACTGTAATTAGATTCTACTTACAGAGAGATGTGTTGAAAACTATTTTGCAAAAGCTTATGTGTACTAAGAAATATAGTTTCTCTACTTTGTCGTATGGGACAGAAATGTGGTTACTGTTCATGCAGTCTGGAGGTCCAGAGAGTTACTTGCATTCTGACTTCCTTTATTGGTTTGTTTTTTTTTTTAATGATACATTTTATACAAATAACTAATCTAAGAGTGATTGTCCTGGCATGCAGAGCTACAGCTGCATTTAATGTCTTTTATGATTATTTTCCCCTCACAGCTTCCCCCAGAACTTGTGGAAAAACCCCAAAGTACTGCAGTAGCTGACAAAATCTTAATTCACGTATATTTATTCAATGCATAGATTATCACTCTTGGATAAACACAGGATTTGAGGGTACTGGTGATGACTACTCCAAATAGTACTGTAAGGTCTAGCTTTTCTTTTTCTTACCTATTTTGCTTTAGTGGGCCAGGACTGTATGTGAATGTAATTAAAAGTGGAGGTTTGTAGAATCATCAAATGATTTGGGTTGGAAGGGACCTTAAAGACCTTATTTTCACCTGCTGTGTATCAAAGAATTATTTTTTCAACCACATTTTTAAAATAACGTATTTAACTATCAATTGTCAACCAGTTTATTTTTCTGGTGTTGTGTGTTGTTTTTGTTAAAAAAAAAAGCGAATCTCAGGAATTGTCATACTGATAAGATGGACAGATTCCTTGATGCTGGATATTAGCTCTGAGGTGGGAGAATGGGATACGGCCTTGTCTTAGTTCAGTAGGATGGTGATACATAATACATACATAATACCTTACATGAAACTTTTAGTAACATTAGCTATCGTGTTTTTATTTCCGCCCTCTGCAGAGAACAAATTTGGTTGGAATAAGTAATGCAGATTTTCCCTCTGGGGACCCTGGAATGTACCAGTTGGATGTTACTCTAAGAAGAGGACAAAATCTAGCTGCCCGGGACCGTGGCGGTAAGTGTGCTGTTAAACACTGCCATAATGATTGGGAAGCTCCATGTTCATTATGTAAATTTATATGAGGGTATTAAAATTACAATTAAGGTTTGAGTTATAAACTCAACTCAGCTTCAAACTTTGTAGAAGTTCTTCGACTCAAGAGCGTGAAGTGAAAGGAGCTAGGGCCAGTTAACCCCACAGAGGTGGAGTAATAAGATTTAACTAATATTGGTTTAATACTTGTGCTAGACAATTTTCCTCTCTTTTTTGAATATTTCAAACTAAGAAAAGGTCAGTAGATGTATTTTAACCATGTAGCTTTGTGCTGTCTTGCTTGCACATGTGCTGTCTTGCTGTTTATTTTATTCCTTGACTGCTTAATTGATAAACACTGGAGCTGTGTTTAAAGACAAAAACAGTAAAACCCTAAAACCCCTGTACTAAATGTGTCCAGGCTTTGCCGGTTGATCACTCTGCCAATCTCATATTAGCATTTTTCAGTCTGCTCTCAGACATGTACCACACACATAATTCAGATTTAGAAAGGATTCCTAAAAGGTGTCTTTGTTGCATATAACTCAGTGTCTTTGTCCATACAACTGCAGCTCATATTTAATATTAGGTAAGTCAGTAATCCCCTTTCTGAACAGCAGTATAAGCATGATAAATCTGATTAACAGCATATTTGGATTACCTCTAATAACATTTCCTGTGAGAAAGAAGAAGCCATAATAAATATTTAAAATAAATAGTATTGCACAGGACCTTTCCATGCTTACCTGATAAAGTTATATGACTGCTTTCAGATCTCAGATATGGTAGTAGAAACCTAGACAGCTCTTTACATGAATAGGACATTACTCCAGTGATACTTATGTCATGAAGCTGAAATTTTGATACACTCACTGTTGCAAGAATAAACTTTTCTTCCTCTAGATTTATTGGTATTCTGTCAAGCTTTGCTTGAAATTCATTAAACACAGACACTCAAATGTTTCTGTTGCATGAGCTAGAGAGATTTCCCCAGTTTTTGAATGATATGTTGAAATTAGGTCACATCCATTATTTATATTATTTATAAATGGATAAAAATTTGAATGTAAACATGATTATTCATATGCAAGGAATACATATGTACTTTTTTCTCCCACAATACAAGAGTTTAGGTCTAGACTAAATAAAGGAGATCTGATTCCTGAGGTGGAAATACCAGGTGCTGTATAAAATGTCAAGTGCTTTAAAAGGTAATTACAGAAAGCTGCTGCTTCAGCAGGAAGGAAACCTCTGAAAGCTAACTGGGAGGCAACATGGCAAGAGTGGTATTTTCTCAGTACTTATTATTCCTAGAGCCCAGAATCAAGGGTTGCAGTCTTCTCCCACCCTGTTTCAGAGCCAGTAATTTGCTTTGAATGGCATATACCTATAACCTTCCAGAAGGCTGAGCAAGTACTGGTTCTCCTTTTGAAGAGGTTGTTGGGGATGGAACAGGGGAAGGTTGTTGGGCTCTGGAATCACAGAGTAGTCTTGTAACTTGAAAACTTAGCAAAAAAGCAAGATGCATGGATTATTTTTTGCTCCCTTTCTGAATTTTTTCTTGTCCCTGAAAAAGCTCAGCACTCCCATCTTAACCAACCAAGGGAATGTTTTACCAAGGCACTGCAAGCTTGTCAGGAAGGAGCGTGTGCATTGCACTTTAGTGAGTATAGAATTTCCTTCAGACCAGGTGGGAACTACAGATGTGCTCCCTCCTGCATTGAAGGTTTAAGATCTCCACTGGGTTTGAGCCTCCAGGACTGAGTTTTTGTTTCTTAAGGGCAAAATACAGAAATTGCACTTGGTACTAGGACATCAAGCTAGGACCCATTCACTCGTGACTGAATGTCCTGGCTGCCATCCACTGTGTTTCTACTTATTTTCCTTTATGGAGCTACCTGGAGTGAGTTTTTAGGAGCACCTGCAGCATTTGAATTGAGGAGACACTACATGCATTAGTCAGGCACTTAGTGGATTCAGATGGCAGCTCAATAGGAAGTGCACAGAAAGGGGCTTGATTTCGGTAGTCAGTTTTGTCTAAATTTTTTAACTATAATAGTAGCTTTTTTTTATTCACTGTTTAATATATCAGTGGTAATTAACATATCTGGTGGTGTTTCACTAAGAAACCGGGCATGTAAAATTGGTGTCTTACTGAAAGTTTATGTGGGTGCAGAGGAGATTCAGTGAGTTCACGGAAGAAAAATCCACAAAACACATTGAAATGCACAGAAAACACATCTCACTCAGAAGGTCTGTGCTGCAAATTCTTGATGCCTAAGAGGGCAATGGAAGGATATAGCATATGTACGTCTTCTTGTTTTTCTATTAGCATCTGCTTACAGCCCTCATAGAGACAAAGGACTGAACTCACAAGACCTTTGCTCTGGGCCAGTATCAGTGTTTCTGTGGCACTGCTAGCATGCTGCAGCAGTGCTTATAGCAGAGATTACAACACAGAAAGTGATTAGAGGACAGTCTGTGAAAGGGACTGTGTAACAATGTATATTCAAATGCTAAATGGAGCTACTGAAACAGATGTGATATATATTAACACATCTTGGAATATTTATCCCAGGACCGTCTCAAAGGAGTCTTACACTATAAGTCTGTAACAGGGCGTAACACCCCATTCTTCCAAAATCTTTCTCAGATCCTCCACTTAAGACTGACAGTTGATTTTTCTCCAAGTGCTGTGAATTTCACTCTAAAATAATACTTGAACTTGAATTTCAGTTCAGTTTTAGCTTTTTGTTCTTCAGTTTTTGAACTGCAGTTTCACATAACTTTTTTGGAAACCTGCTGCTGATCATATTGCAGTCTTGGAATTCAAAGCTGAATTCTCATGTCATGAATGTTCTGCACAATTTTTCTTCCCCAAATTTATAAAAAGAGATACCATAACATTCTCAGAGGAACAGGGGGTAGATTAAAGCTATATTTATGTGGGTAGAAATACCAGCATTAATCATAGCTATTAGTTGATAAATGGCACCACTGACAGTCATTACAAAAGAGGAGCACAACATTCTTCATGAGAAGACCAGCATCTTGCTGTTGTCTTCTCAAAGGAATATCCTTCATTATAACAGGCAGTATTATGTTCAGGAAACTTCCCTTGTCCAACCATCTAGGAGCCACTCTGACAGTCACACTCGCATCACCTGAACTAGAACTGAAGCCCCTTCGCAGCTACACACCCCACACTCACAGTCAGACCTGGTCTCCTTACCAGCTTGACCCTAGATTTCCCATGGCAGAGTATCATACATCCTGATCTTTAAAGTTATTTAATCTTGGTGCAATAAGTAAATCACAAAATAACAGCTTGAGCTGGGTGCCTGCAAGGAGGGAGGATCCCAAACAAGGAAACCCTGGGCTTTTATACCCTTACAGTCCAAAAGTCTATGGGTCACCGTCTCCTGCTGTGTCTATGAGTGTCTGGTCCCAGTGCCCTTTGTTATGCAAAGGGTCAGCAGTTCATGGCCTGCTTACACTGCAGCTGCACACTGTGAATGTATTCCTCAATCCTGTCAGGAATCCTCAGAATTCCTCAGGAATCCTGTCATCAGTCTGATCAAGCTTTCCTTCCACGTACCCTGCAGCTGTGGTATCCTAACTTCACCTAAGCTATGAGATGAGACAGCTTACATTTTTAGCTTCTGGCAAAATCCTGTAGTAACCTCAGATGTTGTTTATAACATATTATCATGGTTTAACCCCAGACAGCAACCAAGCACCACACTTGTTCCCCACCACAGGGGTGAAGGAGAGAATTAGAAAAGTAAAAGCAAGAAAACTCATGAATTGAGATACAGTCTAATAGGTAAAGCAAAAGCTGCACATGCAAGAAAAATAAAACAAGAAATTAATTCGCTGCTTCCCATGGGCAGGCAGGTGTTCAGCCACCTCCAGGAGAACAGGGCATAACAGTTACCTGAGAAGACAAACACCATCACTACAAATGTCCCCTACTGCCTTCTTCCCCATCACTTTATATACTGAGCATAATGCCTTTTGGAATGGAATATCCCTTTGGTCAGTTAGGAGTCAGGTGTCCTGGCTGTGTCTCCACCCAATTTCCTATAGACCCCTAGTATCCTCACCAGTGTGCCAGTACAAGAAGAGGAAAAGCCCTTGGTTCTGTGTAAGCACTGCTCAGCAGTAACAAAAGCATCTCTACATTATCATTACTGTGTTCAGCACAAATCCAAAACACAGCCTCATACTACCCACTATGAGGAAATTAACTCTACGCCAGCCAAAACCAGCATACATATGCTTTATTTAAGCCCATCCTGAAGTAAACTATACACTTGGTTTGATTTAAAAATTTCTTTTCTGAGACACTGTCATAAAATTTGGAAAACCTGTGTAATGTTGGACCTGGTAAGTTCATTAACAACATAACTTTATCACTTATATCTTTGTTTTCCTTTTCAGTTTTGATTTCTCATTTGCTTCTTGTCATATACAGTGCTTGTGTAATATTGTGTACATTTTTAAGAGCTTTTTCTGGAGTTAAAATTTTTGGGTTAAAAAGTCCCTTTTGATTTGTTGGTGGTCTCTGACTTCTTGCATGTGGAGTTTATGTGGCTACTTCATTTTGGTAACATATCTTTACAGATGTTTGCAGTATCTTAAATGGATTTTTAAAGCAAACAAACAGAACTTTCCCTCTTATGATTAATCTATTTTTGCTTTAAGAGGCTCATTTTGAGATGCAAACTGAAATGTTATAGCACAGTTGGTGAAAAGGGGAATTATCTCTTAGTTGCTGGCTTTCTCCGATTCTCTTTGGTCCAAAGAAAAACATCAAAATATTCTTTAAGTGTTTTAAGTATGCTTACCTCACAGTGTCTCCTTGCTTCAATGGAGCATGTGATCCACTCCCTTTCATCCTTTTTGAGAAATGTATAATGTTGGTTTCTTGCTCTACTTCAGACAGAATAGGGAAATAAGTAGCACAGGTTAATCCCATA